AGCCTGCGGTAGCACAGTAGTGCTAAGGTGCTAATGCACGTTAGCTTGAGAAAAGACAGAATTGGAAAGAAGATTCAGCTTCTTCTCTCTGTGGAGATTCTGATACTTCTGGAAGTTCACAACCACAACATGTAAGTACGCTTCATTAATTGTCTTTTTTATTTGTTTGAAAACAACTTTTGAGCTGCTGGATACTTTAGTTCTGTGAAGGCTGTCTGTAGCTGAACTGTAAGCCTCGGCTAACATGCTAAGTAATGCTATTTTTCTAAATTAGAGCAGTACTAAAACTATTTAGCAACTTTCATCTAAAGCGGTAACAGGTATAGCATTGTTAGCTGAGCTCATTTTTCAGATGAGTGTGAAAAATGAGCAATAACCAAACATTATGAAATAGATTTTTGTTCTTGAATTACTTTTTTACAGGATATGTCGGGACTTGATGGCACTGGTGTTGGAGGAGGTGTTTCAGGAACCAGAACCATTCATGGAGGAGCTGCAGAAAATACCTGACTCTCAGAAAGAAGGAGGGGTGGCTCGACACGTGTCCAGGTGTAGTCAAGGGGCGGGCGGAAGCCAACATACTGTCCAGTCGGGTCAGGAAACTCGGGGTGAATCCTCAGGACGACACACGACAGGATAACCACTCCAACCACTGCCAGTGTCTGCACAGCCTGTATGAGACAATATAGATGGATGTAAAAATGTTACTTCTCATTGTATATTCACACATATAGTTCTACACATTTAAATGTTTTTTAACCTTAGCTGAGAATAAAGCACTTTCAACAAATAATGTTCTCACTTGTTTACTTTTATTCCTCTGAAATAGTGAAACTGTTTGATTAGAATGAATTTGTTTGAAGATGTAAATCATTATTTATAATATATAAATGTATATGGGTTTAAACAGTCCTGGATGTTTTTGGTACAAGGAACAGGCAGCGGATTCATTCTCCTGATGAAAGAAGAAGATACTGATTAAAATGAAATAATGTTCAATAAGAAGGAAAATAATGACAAAGGAGGAAACATTATTGCATGAGATATTGATCCAACAAACACGTGATTATCACCTGGGCTTTTGTAGTCAAAGTAAGTCTATGATGTCATTGATACTTACAATTGCTCATTGAATTTTTAATCACATCAAGGAGGTGATATACAATGCAGAACAAGGTGAGTCGCTGCAATAAACAACATACAGTACTAATGTAAATACAATAAAATGTATTGTACAGAACACATTTGTGGCCAATAATCATATTGTAATAAAGCCAAACTTTGTGAAGCCACGAGTAAGATATATATTTTGGAATAGGGAAATATGCTGGTAGCTCCAGTCAGTGAAATTGGAAGAGGCTAACGTATGCTGCAAAATAAATACCTCCAACACTGAAACGTTGTGCTCATGTCTTCGTGGCAAAGGTTGTTGTGTTTGTTCCTCCTCTCTGTCAGATTGGTGAAGTTGCCATTGCCGTTTGCATACCGGTGTTTTTGCTCCCCCTCGGAGCCAGTAGCTGCATTCCCAATATGGTAAAAGGGGCGGGACATTTCCGAGAACCGTACTGAGCGACTGACCAATCACGACAGAGCCGACAGGCCGACCAATCAGATCAGACTGGGCACACGTGGGGACTCTGAACGTGGGCACTTCAGAGCCTTAGAGAGAGAGTCAGAAGAGAGCCGGTGCATGGAGCGGCAGTTCATGAAAACAGACACTTTGTTAGAACTTTATCTATTGTGAACATACTTTAGTAGATACATAGATTAAATATATGAACCCCAAAAAGGGCAGAATATGGACTCTTTAAATAAATTTGGTTTGTACAAAATAAATTAAAATTTGGATCGCAATTTCTCTTTAAGGAGTTGGTGGTGGGTCCTGAGGCTGAATGGGATGAATGGAAAACCGCCTTGAACACACCTCGTGGCCACTAAGAATATCAGGTCATGCCATTTCACTAATGCCCCAGCAGTTCTTTTTCAGTCCCTGGAGAATGACATTCTGAGGTACTGGTTCTCAACTGGTTTAGCCTCAGGACTCATCACCAACTCCTTAATGAGAAAGTCCCACCCAAACTTCTGATATTTTTCAACCATTTAGATCTGTTAATGAAAAAAGGTTCGGACCTCAGACAGTTCAAAACATGACAAAAGAGGAAAACAAAACAAACATGTTTTAAAAGTGCTTCATAGATTTTTTGACACTTTTTTCCCCAGGCACACCTTCGCGACCCTCTGAAAACGGCTCAGCAACCCACTTTTGGGTCCCGACCCATGAGTTGAGAACCACTGTTCTAAAAGACATGTTGAACAAGGTTGTTTTTGTCTACCTTGATGAATTTTGATCTTCTCCAGCCAGGCGAAGAGCACGTGTTACAATGGTTGCTGGAGAATCAACAATTTGTCAAGGTGGAGAAAAGAGTCCCAGGGTTTGCTAACTTCTATTGACATTTTATTAGGAACTATAGTTCTGCTGCAGCCCTTCTCAATGCTCTCATTTGCCCAGGAACAAGATATGCATGGAATATTGAAGCCGAAGAGGCTCTTTCAATCCCTCAAGAAGTGGTTCTCCTTGGCTCCAACCATCAACCCCCAACACTCCCTCAAGAATTAAATACAAGCCCAGCTGGATGCCTGGGCATGCTAATCCCCGGCAGCACCAACCCAGACTACATCTCTCCTCCTGGGGCATTCCGAGGTGTTCCAAAGCTAGATGGGATATATAATCGAAGGAACAAGCCACATCTACAACCTGTTTCCATCGGGGGAGTCGACCTGGAGGTGGTCAAGACCTACGGGTACCTGGGGCTGCAGTTGGACGACAGGCTGGACTGGTCATCAAACATGGACACTATCTGCAGGAAGGGACAGAGCCGTCTGTACTTCCTGAGAAGGCTGGGGTCCTTCAACATCTGTAAGAAGCTGCTGCAGATGTTTTACCAGTCCGTGGTGGCCAGCGTCCTCTTCTATGCTGTGGTGTGCTGGGAGGAAGCAGCAAGAAGAGGGACGCAGCACGGCTGGACAGACTGGTGAGGAAGGCTGGCTCTGTGGTGGGCGCAGAGCTGGACAGTGACAGTGGCAGAGAGAAGGACCCTGAACAGAATGCTCTCCATTATGGACAACACCCACCACCCTCTGCACAGCACCTTCACCAGGCAGAGGAGTGTGTTCAGTGGCAGACTGCAGTCACAATCCTGCTCCACAGACAGACTCAAGAACTCTTTTGTCCCCCTGGCCATACGTCTGTACAACACCTTACGGTTATGGAACACTTGGACTAAAATCTTCCTTTTTCCATTTCCTTTCTGCACAGCTGTCCCAAGAGTCAGCCTCTAGTTGGACACTTTAATGATCACCTCAATTACTTACATAGCACCTTTAATTTATTGTTTGCACTGCCTGTTATTTAATGTCTGTTTTTGATAACTCTGCACTATCTGCTTTTAAAACATTGCTGTACATATATAAACAACACAACTTCAGAAGGTCAATATTTTTTTTTTTTTATATTCAGGTCTAATTACAGATTTTTTCCCTCAACTGTTTATAGGTTCTTGTTTTAAATTACACATATATTTTTATCCTGCACGGGTTATGTACATTTCTTGTATAAGTCTATTTTTAATTGCACAGTTTAAGTTTGATTCAATGGGGGGGGGGGGGGTCGTTTTGTGGTTAATTTGTGACAAATGTTTCATGTCATGTACGTCTTTGTAACCTGCTACTGGATGCTTTGAATTTCCCTTGGGATCAATAAAGTATCTATCTATCTATCTATCTATCTATCTATCTATCTATCTTTCTAATCCCTCCAGCGAACTCTGGGTCTACCCCGGTGGTCACCCTAAGATACTTAAACTTCTTCACCTGGGGAAGGCACACTCCCCAGCTGGAGAGAGCAATCTACTGTTTTCCAGCAGAGAACCATGGCCTCAGACTTAGAGGTGCTAACCCTCGTCCCAGCCGTTTAGCACTTGGCTGCAAACCGTCCCAATGCCTGCTGGAGGTCCCAGCATGAGGAAGACAACAAACCTCATCATCTTCAAAAAGCAGAGATGAGATTTTTCACCTTGGGTTTCTGTCCAGGAAAATCACAAACACAAGGGGCAACCCTGGCAAGGCCAAAACCCATTGGGAATGTGTCTGACTTTGTGCTGAGGATGCGGACACAGCTCCCACTTGTGTCATAAAGGAACCGGATGGCTTGTAGCAACGGCCCCGGGACCACGTATTCCATCTGAGGGACACGGTCAAAAGCCTTCTCCAAGTCCACAAAACACTGGATGAGCAAATTCCCATTCCCAAGACAGCCCAACAATGTCCAGAGCCTTTAGCATCTCCGGGCATCTCATCCACACACACACATATATATATTTATATATGCGCATTCATATAAATGCACAAACGTGAATGATTGATAGACACTTGTGTAATATTTGAGAAGAACTGAGGAGAGGGGTGGACAGATTTTCTAAAATGGCCAATTTTGTCCCTCTGCCAAAGCTTCCCTCTGACATGGAGATGGCAGAGGTCATGTTATCTCATGTTTTTCAGCTGTATGTAAACCCTCAGGATGTTGTGTCAGACCGGGCCCCAGTTTGCCTCTTGGTTTTGGAAGGAGTTCTATAGACTCTTTGGGGCCACAGCTAGTCTGTAATCTTGTTTCCACCCGGAAGACTACAATCAGGAGCTTGAGACCAGACTCCACGCTAACCAATCTTAAAAATGTACTATCTTTATAATCTTCAAATGTCAAGCTGGCTTTGTTTGAAGTGGCCGGAGAAGGAGCGAGCAGGCTGCAGCAGCTGAGATTTTAAAAGCTTCAGTGTCAGCATTCGGTCACTACCGTCATGGCAATTCTCTTTTCTACCTCCACTCAGCAGCAGCATCCATCACCACCTGATTAACCTAGACACACTACTGACACAGATACACACCCACACACTGCAGGGGCAGAGACAGGGGTGCACATTTCACTATTGACATGATCAATACATAATGAGGTCATGTTGGGTCAATACCTCATGTAAATTAATCCATCTGTTACACAATAACATCATTTATTATCATGTGAATTAGCATCTTTGCACGTCACACACCAGCACTATTGTCTCATGTAGGCTTGTACATTTAATGTTTTTGTTGATTTTATAATATTTTATGTTTTATTTTTCTACATAAAACACAGTCTATCAAAGTCACATTCCTCGTATCTGTGAACATACCTAGCAAATAAAGCTGATTCAGAGTCCAGGATTCTCTTGTACCTCAGAAAGATCTTGTTTAATCTCAACATGGTGTTACAGTATCATTCAAATATAAAAGAAAAACAAATGAACTAATGTATTTTATTCTTTATGATTTTTCATATCACTGAGGATTGCAGGTAAGAGTGATAAAACATATACAATCTAAGTGATGAAATCAGAATAATTCATTAGTTTGAAACAGAGAGAACAGAGTCAGCTGATCTTCAGTCAGCAGAGTTTCTCAGACTGACAAATGACACAGAGACACTGAAGAACCTGGTAACCAGAGCCTAAACCCAGGATAGAGAGGTTCAGTGAATGTGGTGTTGAAGGTGTGGAGGTGGATCAGTGTGTCAGAGGAGACTCTGTAGAAGGACAGAGAGCCAGCAGGACAGTCCACATACACTGCTACTCTGTTAGAGACAGAGGAGGAGGAGGAGGAGGAAGAGGAGTAGATCTTTGTTCTTCTGTCATTGTGCCAGACAGAGTAACCTCTATCAGAGCAACTCAGACTCCAGGACTGATCATTACATCCAAACACACATTCATCACTGTTTCCTCTCCTTCTGATTCCTCTGTAACTCACTGATACATAAACCTCTCCTCTCCACTCAACCTCCCAGTAACAGCGACCAGTCAGACCAGTCCTACACAGCAGCTGACGCCAGTTTTCAAATCTGTCTGGATGATCAGGATATGACTGAAGCTCCTCCACATGTGTCACCTTCCTGTTGTTGTCAGACAGTTTCAGTTCTCTGCTCATTGTGTTTGTGTCCAGTTCCAGCTCACAGGCGTCTGATGGAGAGAACAACAACACAGCTGCAGGTTATCATCTGTTCATTCATCAACAACTTTACTGACACTTACTGAGAGTCAATCAAACTTACAGTTCATATTCTGCACTGAATGATGTTTGGCACTGAAATGTAATAATCCACTTCTAATCTAGTTCAAATGTAGTTACCATGGCAGTCAGGATGAATGGAGATCCAAATCAACAAACACATGCAGTGAATAAAGTCTGACTAATCAAAGTGCAGCACAAAGAAGCTGTGAACCATCTGCTGTCTCCAACTGTTCTGTCCTCAGAGGTCACATTCAGCACATTCTGGATTATCACTTTTATTTCAGTTTATATTTTTTATTGTTTACTATTTCAACTCTCATGAGTTTCCATCACCCTCACTTTTATCATCACTTTGTGTTACTTCCAGCCCTCATCCAACATGTGCTGCTGTGTTCTGATGAAGAGAAATGAAAACACACTCACACTTCCTCAGACCAGGATCCAGTGTGTGCAGTCCACCATGGTCCAACCTGGAGGAAGAAACCAGATCAGAATCTACTTCATACATCTAGATTTAAATCCACCATTAGTTCATCATTCAGAAACAGTGAGACAGCTTCTGTGTGTCTGTCTGTCTCAGAGGTTGCGCTAGACTTTCTTGTCATACATTTTCCATCATAATCTATAACGATCTGTCATTTTCATTTCATATATTTTTATGATAATGAGACATTGCCTATTTATTTATTTTAGCATATGATTATAGAAACAAGTCGATCACATGTTACGTTTAATTTGCAGAACAATCTTACAGATAATAATTTTATAAGAGCATGAAGAGAAAAATCAACACCGACCCTGTGAAGTCACTTTTATCGTCAATAAAGCTACGGAGCAACATTTGTTTTCCGGTCACAGTTACACATTGTGGAATACTGTTTTTTAAAACTACGTTAATTAATACATTCAAACAAAACTTTAACATAAGACATTTTGTCTAAATTTAAAGAGCATATTGCAGGTTACATTTTTAATAAATGAACACTTAACTTGTCTGATAAAGGCTGTAGAATACGTCAATGTTTGATTTGATGTGTTATACAACACTAAAGGGCAAAAATTAGAGGAGAAAGTGTCCGTTTTCAGTATAGCTGTTTAGAACGCTCTTTTTTTCAACATGGCGTCATATGACGTAGCATGGGGGACTCGCGTTCTCTGACTCTGCTTTGATCCAATGTGCAGCAGGTGGTAGTGGGTGAGAGCGGGAGTTTCGGGTCGTGTTTATTGTGTTTCTTCCATTGTTTAACATTTAATTTGACCAGTCAGATGGTTAAATATTGTTTAAATAATGTTAACCTAATAGGAAGAAACATGGAGTTAGCTTTCGTGCCTGGATTCGTTTTGTGCAGTTTCAACAGTTTGTGACCATCATGCAGATAGCTTTACCATGCTATGAAAACAACCATAGACAACGAAGTCATGCAAGTGAGGTCAGCCTACAGGACAAGACAATAACTAATTAATTATGCACACTCGCCACCAACTGGACTGGGAGGTCTACTGCAGGTGCTTTACATGTGGTTAATGACAGAGTTGTGTGGAATTAGAAAGGAGTGGTGGACACCCAGTGATTCTAATCAGTCAAAACCTTCAGATTATTTTTCGTCATTGTTCAAAAAATTCTGTCAAAGACGGAGAATATTCGGTTAACGCGACCTCTAGTCTGTCTGTACCTCAGTGTCTCCAGTCTGCAGTGTGGATCCTCCAGTCCAGCAGACAGCAGCTTCTCTCCTCGTTCTCCTGGATGATTGTAGCTCAGGTCCAGCTCTCTCAGGTGGGAGGAGCTTAGAGCTGAGGCCAGAGACGCACAACCTTCTTCTGTGATCAGACAACCTGACAGACTACACGCACGCGCACACACACACGATCATAAAAAGGACTTAACAGATCTTCATATTTAACTTTCTTTATTCCAGTCCAGCTTCCTCAGACTTAAAGACTGGGAGCTACAGAACGAGCTCAGAGCTTTACAGTTTTAATGTGGTAACATACAGTAACTAAAACTTTAAACCACTCATTAAAGGAACATTTAAGAAATGATTCATCAAGAAAACAATCTTAGAGGAATAATCTGGATCAGCTGAACACTAACCTGAGAGTGTCCAGTCTACAGAGAGGACTCTTTAATCCAGAGGACAGCAGCTTCACTCCTGAATCCTGCAGGTTGTTGTTGCTCAGGTCCAGCTCTCTCAGACTAGAGGACTGGGAGCTGAGGACTGAGGACAGAGCTTCACAGCTTCTCTCTGAGAGGTTACAGACACTCAACCTGAAGAGGATTCAGAAGAACACAAATGAAAGCAATTAAAAACAATAGTTGTTATTTCTGAATAAAGAGAACTACATTAAACCTGGATAGTTATGTGGACACATACAGAGCTTTGTTTGAAGCTTTGATCACAGGCAGCAGCCTCAGAAGAGCCTCCTCTGAAGCAGAGTATTTCTTCAGGTCAAACACGTCCAGATCTTTTTCTGATGACAGTAAGATGAAGACCAGAGCTGACCACTGAGCAGGAGACAGTTTATCTGTGGAGAGACGTCCTGATCTCAGGGACTGTTGGATCTCCTCCACTAGAGAACGATCATTCAGTTCATTCAGACAGTGGAACAGATTGATGCTTTTCTCTGCAGACAGATCCTCACTGATCTTCTTCTTGATGTAATGGACTGTTTTCTGATTGGTCTGTGAGCCACTTCCTGTGGGTGTCAACAAACCTCGTAGGTGATTCTGATTGGTCTCTAGAGAAAGACCGAGGAGGAAGCGGAGGAACAAGTCCAGGTGTCCATTTGGACTCTTTAAGGCCTGGTCCACAGCACTCTGATATAAAAGTGTTGGGTCAGGTTTTTCTCTTGATACTTCAGACCTGGATGTTGTTTGTTCTTCTGACATCAGATTGACTCCAGAGTTGATGAAGGTCAGATGGACATGAAGAGCAGCCAGAAACTCCTGAACACTCAGATGGATGAAGCAGAACACCTTGTCCTGGTACAGTCCTCTCTCCTCTTTGAAGATCTGTGTGAACACTCCTGAGCACACTGAGGCTGCTCTGATATCGATGCCACACTCTGTCAGGTCTGAGTCATAGAAGATCAGGTTTCCTTTCTGCAGCTGCTCAAAAGCCAGTTTTCCCAGAGACTCAATCATCTTCCTGCTCTCTGGACTCCAGTGTGGATCTGTCTCAGCTCCTCCATCATACTTGATGTTCTTCAGTTTGGACTGAACCACCAGGAAGTGGATGTACATCTCAGTCAGGGTCTTGGGCAGCTCTCCTCCCTCTCTGGTCTTCAGCACATCCTCCAGAACTGTAGCAGTGATCCAGCAGAAGACTGGGATGTGGCACATGATGTGGAGGCTTCTGGATGTCTTGATGTGGGACATGATTCTGTTGGCCTGCTCCTTATCTCTGAACCTCTTCCTGAAGTACTCTTCCTTCTGTGGGTCAGTGAACCCTCTGACCTCTGTCACCTGTCAACACACTCAGGAGGGATCTGATTGGCTGCTGCAGGTCGTGTGGTTATCCAGAGGTGAGCAGAGGGAAGCAGTTTCCCCTGATGAGGTTTGTCAGCAGCACATCCACTGAGGTGGACTCTGTGTCATCAGTCAGGGTCTGGTTGTTTTTAAAGTCCAGAGGAAGTCGACACTCATCCAGACCGTCAAAGATGAACACAACCTGGAACTCTTCAAACCTGCAGATTCCTGCTTCTTTGGTTTCAGGAAAGAAGTGATGAACAAGTTCCACCAAGCTGAACTTTTTCTCTTTCAGCACATTCAGCTCTCTGAAAGTGAATGGAAATGTGAACTGTATGTCCTGGTTGGCTTTGTCTTCAGCCCAGTCCAGAGTGAACTTCTGTGTTAAGACTGTTTTCCCGATGCCAGCCACTCCCTTTGTCATCACTGTTCTGATTGGTTCATCTCTTCCAGGTGAGGCTTTAAAGATGTCTTCTTGTCTGATGGTTGTTTCTGGTCTGTCTGGTTTCCTGGATGCTGTTTCAATCTGTCTGACCTCGTGTTCATCATTGACCTCTCCAGTCCCTCCCTCTGTGATGTAGAGCTCTGTGTAGATCTGGTTCAGAAGGGTTGGGTTTCCTGCTTTAGCAATCCCCTCAAACACACACTGGAACTTCTCCTTCAGGTTAGATTTCAGTTTACATTGCACTGCACCAAACGGTCCTGAATAAAGAAAGAACTGAAATCAATGAACAGATCCTGATATAGATCACATGACTATCTGAGTTTGGAATTTTAAACGGTTTTGTCCTTTTTCTAAAATACTAAATCTGTTAAAATGTTCTTACTGCTCTGCAGACAGTCAGCCAGCTCCTCCTGCTTCATTCTCCTCAGGAAGTGGAGAGTGATCTTCAAAAAATCTTCTCTACAGCTTCTCCCCTGCTCTTCATCCTCACTCTGACTCTCTAAGCATTCTGGGTAATCTGGACTCAGACCTCTCTGGACTCTCTTCAGCTCGTTCTTCACAAAGGTGACGATGTTCTCCTCCAGCAGCTGGAACAGAAGGAGACACTGGATATTTAATATAAACTGGTAGAACTCAACATGTGATTCATCTGTCAGTCTGAAGGTCAGCTGGTCGAAACAGAACAATAACTTAGCATTAAATTATTGTAATGGTAGTAAATTATATAACAGTGTGTTGAACAGACCATAAAGATGGAGTCCAGGTCTGTTGGATTCTGCTGGTCTGATTGATCTCTGTGAACCTCGGAGCTCTCCTGTTGAACTCTGTGACACAAGAAAACAATGTGTCATATATTATGAAGCTCTGAACCAAGATACACATTATACACCAATCACTCTTCATGGACACACAGCTGGGTCCAGGAGAGTCTGGTCTCTGTCTCTTCATCCTGATACAAACAAACAGCTGGTTAATGAAAGCTTTTAGAACAAAGATCATTTTTAATCAGATTGTTCCAGTTCAAACTAGCAGATGGATAATCAGTGATCAGGAGGCAGAGCTGAAGTTCTCCACAGCTCTCTCTGTTTCTATTAGAACAGTATCTCACTCAGAATACAGACAACACTGTGTCTGTCCTCAGATTCTTTAGACTGATGGAATCAAAGTTAACAGAAGAAGACTCAAACATAAACACAGCTCAGAAAGATGACACCAGGAACAATAAAGGTTAGAAGTCCAACCTGCATTTTCAGAGAGAAAGAACTCAGGCTAGCTACAGACAGATGTTCATGAAGATACTACCAGTGACCACCAGGGGGGGCAGAAGGACAACCTGAGAGAGTGATCTGTAGGAACAGGAGACTGGCTGGACCTCTGAAAGAGAACCATGAACAAGCCGAGGCCAGACTGTTTATTGGGAAACAGGAGCAGGTGAGGGACAGACTGTGGACTGAAAACAGATGTTGACCAGGCTGTCGACGTGGAACGAGGCAGGATTGGTGTTTGGTTAAAGGACTTCTTCTGTGTCCCCCACATGAAAATAACTTTACAAGTCATATTCTATAACTTAAAAGAATATCATCTTGTTAAGTATGTTTAGTATTAGAAAAGCTTATATTAATAAAATACAGTATATCTAACTTTGACTTAATTAGATATTCTGGTTAACATCGAGCTAGATTGAACCTGAAAGGAGCTACAACAATGGTTTATCATATCTCAGCAGAGGAACAAGATTGTTTTCTTTATTTTGAGGATAAGACCACTTAGAGAACTTCTGGATTCAAGAAAGTTCAAAAAGGACACAAGTTAAAGTTTGTTCATAGAGAGCAGGAATCCTTCCTCTGTCTCTGATGATTATAAAAGTGTTCTTGTCCTGAATACTGGACTCAGTGTAGTTAATGAAGCATGTTATGACTGTGGCTCTTATATTATGAGCTTTCTTATTGAAATGTGTGTCAGTGTAAATTGTTCTACCACCCTGCTGAGGGTTGGTGCTGTTGTCTTTGTCACGTCTCTCTCTCTCCTTGAGCTACAGGTGATTGGATGGGAGCTGATGGTAATTGGACTTGAGCTTATATAGCACTTTTCTAGTCTTCTGACTACTCAAAGCTCTTTTACATCACCTGTCATACCCACCCATTCACACACTGATGGTAGTGATCACTATGTAGTATCATCCATTAGAAGTAACTAAGTTTACTGCCTGTTTTAAGTAAAATAATGGAAAGAACAGTGAGTGAACAAATTAAAGGCTATTTCTCTTTGAATGATTTAACCACTGACTTTCAACATGCATACAGAGAAGGGCATTCAACAGCTACTGCTCTGACTCAGATGACTGATGATTGGCTGAGAGAAATAGAAGAGTAAAATGGTGGCAGCTGTCCTTCTTGATTTTACAGCAGCATTTGACATTATTGATCACAAATTATTAATACAAAAATTAGAATGTTATGTCTTTTCAACATGTGCATTATCTTGGATGGAGAGCTATTTAACTAACAGAAACCAAACTGTTTTTTTTACTGGGAGCTATTCAGATGTTAAAAAGGTAAGGTGGGGAGTGCAACATGGAAGCTGTGTTGGTCCATTGCTTTACACCATTTTCACAAATAACTTACCACTTGTCTTAAATGAGGCCAACATTTCAATGTATACTGATGATTCAACTATATATATGTTGGCATTCACAGCCAATGAGTTAAACACAGTTTTATATTCAGAGTTACGATCAGTGGTTGAATGGATAAAGAAAAATAAATTGGTCCTGAATCTCTCAAAGACAAACAGCATTATATTTGGGTCGAATTATGTTCTGAGCAGAGAACCAAATTTAAATCTGAGTATAAACAATGTGTCTATAGACCAAGTGCAAGAGACTAAGCTGCTGGGAATGATCTTGGATAGTCAACTATCATGGACTCGACATATAAATAAAGTTGTAGCTAAGATGGGTAATGGTCTTTCTGTTATTAAAAGATGTGCCAGATTTTGAACACAAAACTTAACTAAACAGGTAATCCAGGCTTTAATATTGTCCAATCTTGACTATTGCCCAGCAGTATGGTTTAAAAAATATGACCTCTGCTCATCAAGCTCCATCTTTGAAATCAGCTGCTACTCTGTAAACTGGAGTTCTATTTAAAGAAACACAAACTCAGTGATATGGTTTATCATGATGAGTCTGATCACTCAACTCTTTGACTGGTGAACACTGTGATGTCACTGCTGAAACAATAAACTGATGAGTCCTACAACACATCATGAAGCTCTGAGACAAGATATGAGTCTTTAAACAACAGAGTCAGAACATTAACTTCACTTTCAGATCTCACCCTCCATCAGCAGGACGTCCATCTTTAAAGTTAATAATGACATCTTTAGACCAGTCACTCTTCATGGACACACAGCTGGGTCCAGGAGAGTCTGGTCTCTGTCTCTTCATCCTGATACAAACAAACAGCTGGTTAATGAAAGCTTTTAGAACATTTTTGTTAAGTATGTTTAGTATTAGAAAAGCTTATATTAATAAAATACAGTATATCTAACTTTGACTTAATTAGATATTCTGGTTAACATCGAGCTAGATTGAATCTGAAAGGAGCTACAACAATGGTTTATCATATCTCAGCAGAGGAACAAGATTGTTTTCTTTATTTTGAGGATAAGACCACTTAGAGAACTTCTGGATTCAAGAAAGTTCAAAAAGGACACAAGTTAAAGTTTGTTCATAGAGAGCAGGAATCCTTCCTCTGTCTCTGATGATTATAAAAGTGTTCTTGTCCTGAATACTGGACTCAGTGTAGTTAATGAAGCATATTATGACTGTGGCTCTTATATTATGAGCTTTGTTATTGAAATGTGTGTCAGTGTAAATTGTTCTACCACCCTGCTGAGGGTTGGTGCTGTTGTCTTTGTCACGTCTCTCTCTCTCTTTGTGCTGCAGGTGAGTAGGATAGAGGGGAAGGTCTGGGCTGTTTAAAGAAGAGAAGGAGGTGTATTCTGAGGGCCTCTGGTGGAGAAGTAGGAGAAACAGGAGGAAAGTACTGGGAGAGGTGAACATGGACTGAAGACAGGAAGTGAGAGTGATGTAAATGTCTGAGGATGAAAGAGTTGTAGAAAAGCAGAACAGAGCTCTTTGTCTGTGCTGCCTCTGACAAAGAGCTGCTAAACTGCCTCTCACTGTTTTTATAGCAATGACATTAAAGATCTATTCTTTTATTTTCTGTTGTAATGATCTGAGGGATAATTAGAAAAAATATGACCTCTGCTCATCAAGCTCCATCTTTGAAATCAGCTGCTACTCTGTAAACTGGATTTCTATTTAAAGAAACACAAACTCAGTGATATGGTTTATCATGATGAGTCTGATCACTGAACTCTTTGACTGGTGAACACTGTGATGTCACTGCCCGGGATTAAAGCAGAAAAAAAAAATGTCCAAAAATTCTCAAAGTATAAAACAAGTACAAAAAAACAATTTGAAGGTCTTTTCTATCTAAGAAATAAAATTGACACATTTTTCTTTTTTGAAGCTCAAGATCTAGGCTGACAGATGTGAGCTTGCTTCTTTTTTAACAAATTTGACCTACAGTCAAGTGAATTTTATGCCTATATAAATTAACAGGTGCAGCAGGTGATCTATATAAAACTTTGAATAAGTTAAAGTCTGAAAAGTAAATGAAGTTAGGGGGGTCTGGGGGGTTTCTCCCCCAGAGAAAAAATCTATTCTAACATTCAAATGAGGCTTTTGGAGCATTTTGAGATTATTTCATGATAAATGAGGAACTTGTTTTGACACTAAATAAGAAGCCGACTCTGTTCTTAACCTTAAGCAGTCTAAAGTAGTAACAACACAGAAATACCCTCAAACAAGTTACAGAAGTTAGAGTACAAACGTATCAGACTTTAGTCTGGAGTAACAAATGAATAATAGTTACTTTGCAAAAATGTACCTTTTGCAGAATATTAATTATATATATTTTTAATGCATTAATGTGTTCCTCATTTTGTTGTCATTGCTACAGTTGGATCTAATCCTATTTACATACCTGTAGCTGGATACCTTGTGAATTCACAGGGCATATAATAAAGATATTTAGACAAATAGTGTATTCATCCTATTTTGCATTCTAAATCTGAATCTGAGAAGTAACTAGCAAACAAACTAAAGATTTTCTATAAATTCAGTGGAGTAAGAAATATATTTTTACTAAGTACAAGAAGGCTTTTTTTAACATTTTTTTTAACACAGAACTTATTTTATTTTATTTATTTGTTTGTTTATTTAACATGGACATACAGTAACATTGGTGCTGTAACATTTAACCATGCACAAGTTTATAGCAAAATGCTAATTTGCAACACCTGTCCACGGGAGGCTTTTAGAAACAACAGAGATAAAGATAAAAAGGGTAAGAAAAAGAAAACAGTTCAGTTATAAATACAGTGCAGTTATGAATGCAACAGGGATAAAATACTAATGAAGCTTTCAAAACTAAACATATTGTGTACCTCTAATACACGACAATGGTGCCATCTTATCGTTTTTTTGTCCATGATTTTTAATGATTGGTTATATAGGGATATGATTGGCTTTAAAGTTGTTTGTGAGGCTTGAGACCAAGAACTGATGCAATATGATAGATGTGATAATATCATAGCATGTATATATAGCTGAGCTGTACTAAATGAGAGGTATTTCCTAATGATTCTGAAGCAGTTTAGATTAGATCTCGCTTTTTTACAGGTGTTTTTCGAATCGTAGGTGAGTCTAGAACAATCCCTAAGTACTTGACATCTTCAACCACATTGATGGTCTCATTATTTATTTTAACTAAGAATGTTTCTTTATCCCTTTGTTTGAGCATAGAAAAGCATATGGAAACTGTTTTCTTAATATTTAATGTTAAGTTAGAAGACTCAAGCCATTTTGCAATACAGTGCAAGGAGTCATTGAGGTGGGCAGCAGATTGCCTAGCAGATCTTGCAGGTGTGTATATAACCGTATCGTCGGCATACATTTGGCAGCCAACTGCAGGACAGATCTCAGGTAGGTCATTGATGTACATGCTGAATAGCAGTGGACCTAGAACTGACCCCTGGGGTATCCCCATGCTGTTGTTACGGAAGATGGACTTTTGCCCACTGACTCTGACACATTGCACTCTTCCACTTAAGTATGAGTCAAACCACTGCAAAGCCTGATCAGAGAATTGAAATTTAGAAAGTTTGGATAGCAACACATTGTGGTTACAACTGGGAGAATAGCAATGGGTCTACAATTACATGTCAAGTCTGGCTCACCACTTTTGTAAATTGGACTGATAATGGCTTTTTTCCAGCTCTCAGGGAAAGTTTTTGTTTGAATTGACATATTCACCAGATGTGTTATTGGCTTAAGTAATTGAGTTCTATGATATTTGATCAGTTCACCGTCCAAATCATGAATATCCCTAGTCTTTGAGTTGTTCAGGTTACTCATGATCTTACTGACTTTTTCCAAAGTTACTTCTTTGATGTAAAATCCATTTTGAGTTTTCTGACTGAGTGTGTCTGGTCTTAACTCGACAGGTTTGAAGTTTTTGGATAGTTCCTGAACTGATTCTATAAAGAAAGCATTAAACTCACTTGCAACTGATGCGTTGTCTGAAATAAATGTGTTGTTTATCATTAAACCCTTAATTCTATGATGTTTTGAGGCATTGGAGTTGGTTAAAGTGTTAATGTGCTTCCACAGTGCAGAGCTATTGCCTTTGGACTCTTCAATAAGCTTTGAAAAATAATTCATCTTAACCCTGCGTAGTTCAGCTACAACTTTGTTTCTTAAGCCAGTATAAATTAAATGATCAATGTTAGTTTTAGAGATAAGACATTTTGTAAGAGCAAAGTCACGTCTTTTCATTAATTGCCAAAGGTCTTGACTAAACCATGGGAGCGAGTTTCTTCTTGGTCTGCTCTTCCATGTTTTAGTGTGTTTGTCAATTAATCCAGTGATAGCTGTTGTAAAATGATCACAGCATTTGTCCACGTTATGTGTTTGTGGGGTGAGAAAGGCTCCACTGGAAAGGCAGATGTATTACCCAAAGTGCTAGTCAGCTGTAGAGTTGGGCCTGGATTTAGGTGCACATCGCCGGCAAGTAGAAGAAGAGTAAACAAAATCCGAGCAGCTCTCCAGCCCGCGTCTGGTGGCTGTGTGGCTCGCCCCGAACTCGCTGCTGCATGTTGGCCACCGCGGTGGAAAAGGGAGGCGATAGCCATGTAGCCATGACCATAGAAGTTAATCCGTGGTTTGATGGATAATAATCCCATTGGATCTATGATGCAACTTTGGGCTTTGAAGCTGAGTTTTGCGATCGGGTCTTGCGCATGGTCACAGGTGTACACCAGAGGAAGCAGCAACAGTCATGTTGGGTCAGTGTGAGGACACAGAGGAGGGGGTCCCTCCTGCTGGAAGAGCTGCACTTATTTATTGACTCCTCAACACTCACACATTGAGATCCAGTTTCTGTGGTGCAGTGCTGCACTGAGAGTTTACTTTAGGAGAGAAGCTGGACTCACTTTTCTGGGAGTATCAGTTTTTCTTACAGTCACAGTACAGAAACATAACTCCCCCTCCCATTGGCTCAAGCAGAATTCTCCAGAGAATATCCTGCTGCGTTCTCAGCTCACTCTGAATTGCTGCTGAAAAAATGACTCGGGGTCTGAGAGGAGAAACTCTGGGTGAAGTTCGAGCAAAACATTTCTGCTCGTGTGAAAGCACTATAAATCTAAGGTATAATGTTCTATAGTGTGAACACATGGAGAGGCTCTCTGAGGGAGAACTTTCTGATCATCATTCTCTGTTTGGATTCTACTTCATGCACTGTGCTCACCTTATTTACATTCAGATACATGTTATTTTATATTGGAAGCCCACCAGCTGTCATTCAACATTTAATGATGACGGTTCAACAAAAAGTTAAAAGCTTTTAGTTACCGTGGCTTTAAAAGCTATTATAAAAAGTTTTCATACAATCACAAATGATCAGATAGAAGAGTCTGTTTACCTCTTCAACAGAGCTCTGAGCATGGTTTGAAGAAACGTATGATGTCATGAATAAACATTCTCATGTCTCTTCAGGGTTTAACTTCTCACCCTCTCTCCTGTTTTTTTTATCTGTAAGGATCTGAATGCTCTGACATTTCTCCTCTCCTCGTGCTGTCATGGCGTGCAGTGAGTGACAGGTGGAGCGAGCCCGAGAGAGTCCCCCTCCCCCCTTCATCTGTCAGAGTCGACCTCCCGAGAGACCGGAGTTCAAGAGATTTCTGTATGTGTGAAAAGAGTTTAACTGTCCGGTTAGCATGTTAGCACGTTAGCATGTTAGCATAGCATGCGTGCTAAACTGAGAGTCATCATGTTCCCTTTACTTCTACTGTAATAAGAGCAGCTAACGAACCTGGTGGCTAACTGTTAGCTTACAGTTCTTTTGAGACTTAAATTAAACAGAGAGTCTGAACAACAGTGAAAAGAGTCTCTTACCTTCAACCAGAGGATTATAATATTTTACAGGACTCTGCCTTCAACACGGAGAACAGAACTGCGTCACCACTGGAGAAAGTGAAAGTATAAAGTATAAACAGGAAATAGAACAGGATATTTATCACCATGGCAACAGGGTTTCAAACGTCACAGCCTTCATTAGAGATAAGAGTGTGATTAAACATTTAATAAAACACTGATGATGATGATTCAGTTCTACTCCTTCAATCTGAACTTCATGAGGGCAGAGAGGTTCAAATCTTCCTTCTACAGTTGGTGTGTCTGTGAGGTGAATAAAGGTGAACCAGGTGAATAAAGATGTCCACCTGTTGAACTCCACACTTCCTCCTCCTTGTTGTCACTCTGTTCTTCTATTAAACTGTAACGCCAATAAAACTTATCCACTCTGAAGTTGCTCTGTGATATTTTCCTCCACAGTGTAATGAATTAAAAAAGAATGAAAAGTTAAACTGTAGACAAACATGATCAGTATCTGTAATCTTCATCTTTTTGACCGTTTGATTAAAGTTAAATATTTATTCTCTGCTGGTCTTGATGTAATCCTCATTTCAGAATAAGCAGGGCTCAAATTAAACAGATTGGTACTCAACGTGTGAGCTGTAACAATCCAGAGGAAGACCCGAGAGCTCAGGAGCTCCCAGGAAACAATGTGTTTGTTTGTTTGTTTGTTTGTATCCCTGTTAGCTTCCCCCGTTAACAACATCATATCTACAACAACTAAAGAATAATAAAGACGTTTACAGAAATGAACAAAAGAAACAGACAAAACGTTTACAGCGTCTAACAGATAAACACGGTGACACAGAAAGGCTCATCGTCCCTTCAGTACTGACTAAAGCTTCTCTGTACAAAATGTTTTTTTAAACTGTATACAGGGTTTTGACTTGTTGGTGAATTGTCTCTGTACGTTACTGAGCGTTGAGATGATGATGAACGACCTCCCACAGCTCGTTGGATGATGGTGTGTAT